GATTAAAAACGTTAATGCGCGGGTATTTAGTGTAATTATCATTACTGCGCAGGCGTACGTGACGCACAATTTTACTGCGCAGGAAAATATTGAAAATAACGCTTTTGCGCAACTATGAATGATGCGCAACTTTACTGCGCAGGAAAATATTGAAAATAACACTTTTGCGCAACTATGAATGATGCGCAACTTTACTGCGCATGAAAATATTGAAAATAACGCTTTTGCACAACTATGAATGATGCGCAACTTTACTGCGCAGGAAAATATTGAAAATAACGCTTTTGCGCAACTATGAATGATGCGCAACTTTACTGCGCAGGAAAATATTTAAAATAACGCTTTTGCGCAAACTATGAATGATGCGCAACTTTAATGAGCAGGTATCCTCTGCAATTATCATTACTGCGCAGGCATACATGTCCCACAACTTTACTGCGCAGGAAAATATTTAAAATAACGCTTTTGCGCAACATTACATTACATTGTAATTAGTTTTACTGCGCAGTTAATCATTGAGGAAGTAACTTTACTGCGTAGCAAAATATTAAACATTACGCTTCTGCGCAATTGTTGTATTGTCATTATTTTTACTGCGCAGTTTAATTTTTTTACTCGAAAATTTTACATTACGCGAGTAATTTTATTGTGCAGGCAAAAAAGTATGAAAAAACACAAAGCAAACTAATTTTACTGCGCAAAATTATAAAATTAGGCAACACTTTAGTGTGAAGCGAAAAATTATAATAAATAATAATCCACCATTTTGAATAAAATAATTCAAAAATGAAAATGGCAGTTCTAAAATGATAGACACATTTTTAAAGTGTTATTGGTTTTATTTGAAACTTTTTCCTCGATATTTTCGAAATCGTTGAATACGAATTTAATATTCGTTTGAGAAAATCTAAAATGGCGGATACAATATGGCAGATATTTTTTTTAAAAAAATTATTGGTCTCGTATGAAATATTTTATTGGAGTGTTTTCGGGGTCAGTGAATTAGAATTTGATATTAGTTTTTCTAACTCTAAAATGGCTGAACCAATATGGTGGACATTTTTTCAAAAAATTATTCGCTTTTGTCTGAAACGTCTTAATTCAGAGTTTTTGAGTTTGCTGAATATGAATTTGTTCTTAGATTTTAAAAATTTTAAATGGCGGATCGAAAATGTCAGTTCAAAAATTGTCAATTTCAATAAAACATTATAATATTTGTTACTCGGGGTTTTTTAGGGTCGTTGAATATGAAAATAAAGTCTGTTTTTCAAAATTCAAAATGGCGGATCCAATATGGCGGACAGTTTTTCAAAAAGTTATTAATTTCCTCTTAAACTTAGTATTCAAGGGTTTTCGAGGTCGTTGAATACGAAAATAAAGTCCATTTTTTAAAATTCAAAGTGGCGGATCTAATATGGCGGACAGTTTTTCAAAAAGTTACTAATTTTCTCTCAAACTTGTTACTCGGGGGTTTTCGAGGTCGCTGAATACGAAAATAAAGTCCATTTTTCAAAATTCAAAATGGCGGATCCAATATGGCGGACAGTTTTTCAAAAAGTTACTAATTTTCTCTCAAACTTGTTATTCGGGGGTTTTTGAGGTCGCTGAAAACGATTCTTTTATTAGATTTATAAAATTTAAAATGATAGGTTCTGTATAGAAAATTCTTTTCCAAAAAACTGATGACTTTTGTCAAAAATTTACCACTTTGGGATTTTCAGGATCGTTAAATACGAATTTAATATTATTTTTTTTCAAGAAATATGCGACTGGCTATTTGTGTAAAAAAATGTTGATTTAATCAAAAGGAATTAAATTGAGCAGACAAAATGTGTTTTTATGAAGGTACGAATTTACGTGCGGAGTGGTAAATTGAATAAAAGACTTTAATAATTACCGAGTAAATAAACATGGTATATTTGTGCTCGAATATCCGTGTACATTTCATCGCTAGAAACGTCATTTCCGTTAATATTGGCGAAACTATAATCATAAAATTCGGAAAACTCGGTTGCATCGTGAATTTCGATTTAATGAAAAACGATTTTTATGAACGCGAACAAATATTGTCTGTACTAATTCTCGTTTTTTTGTTTATTTAAAAATATTTTCATGTTCTAAGTTTCTTTTTTTCAAATTCTTTTGTTTTTTTTTTTTTTGAAAATATATAAAAAGATTTTTTTTTTCTTGAAATGTATAATGAAATTATACTACAGTTATTTATTATTGTAATTTATTTAAGAAATATTTTTACATCAAACTGAGAGAATTAATAAAATTTTTAGTGATGTATCATAAAAGAGCTTTATTTCTCCAGAGTAGAGAAAAATAAATATTGTCCCAGGCGTCCGATACCAGGGAAGTTCGCAAGCGAGATTAAAGTACATGTACGTTTTCTGAAAAAGAATAAAAAAAAAGAGTATGAGCAAACAAAAATAAACGATTCGAATGTTATTTCTTCCTTGGGACGCATTATTTTTCAAGAATTATACGTTAGCCAAACGAGTGAGTGCACAAATTTTTCTATTGCACCTGTATTTTTTTTTTTTGTTGCTTCTACTTTTTTTCTACCTTTTATTAAGCAAAAATCTCTCTTCAACATTTGATTTTCTTTGCATCTACGCTGGGGGGTTTTTTTTTCTTTCTATTTTTAGTTGACATATACGAGTTAGCAGGCGTAATCTACTTTATGCAAATCTCGCATTAATACGAACCGTCACGATGACGTTTTCGCCCGCGAAATTCGTATAAGCGAGCGTGTGTGTGCAATGTCGGAGTGCGTTTTGGCGACATGGAAATTTATGCGATTGAAAATCGTCCGCGCAAATCGAAAGCAGCACCCAGACGAATGAGATCACGTTTCCGCTTCACTCTTCAAGCTGAAAATCGATTTCCGGTATTTTATGCTCCTCCAGGGGGCTCCTCTTTTTAATATGCTTTTCGAAAAAAAAATACTTTAAATCGATTTTATACACATTGTCTAAAATTTAATAATTAGGGACAGAAATAAAATCAGGATAAAACGTGGAAACAAATAAAAAAAAAATGGTTTCGATTTCACCCCCCAAAAAAAAATTGCTCTAAAATATTTTACTTCAAGTGTGTGTAAAAATTTACTACTTTTTTTTAAAGATGCTTTTTTTTACGATCCATATTTGTCCTCTTTATAGTGCTTTTCGAATAAAAGGAAAAGTTATTATCCATGGAGAAATTTAATCGTGGTCGTATAATCTCAAGAATCAGACAAAGTACTGATTGTTTTACATACGATTGACTTTATTAGCCAAGAAACAAAGATAGTATAATACTGTGTGTTAGCATTTTAATTGAGGTACTAGCAAACTAACTGCAGATAAAGCATAAAGAACATAACCGGTCCCCTTGTATTGAAACGATAAATGCATGGTAGCGTGGTGATACGGAATCTGACGAATACATATATTCGAAGGCAGATACGAGTTCCCTTTTCCGTATCCCATGCTCCTTTGCTGGAAAAAAAAGAGAGTAAAAAAAAAATGGAAAATACATATACGCGGACTTTGGACAAAAAAAAAAGCTCAGAACGATACTGTGACCGATACGCCCTCTAAAGTGTCACGATTTATGGATTGTTCTGCAATTTTTTTTCCTCTCTTTCTCTTATAAAGTTTACTACTGCATTACGTAAAGTGGGGAATTTTTTTCGATGTTGATTTTTTATTTGGAAAATTTATACTATCACTGGATTTACAAGTCTAATGTAAAGTCGACGGAAAGGTTTTGTGAAATACTTTTGTTTTTATAGACGGTTTATAAAGGATTTTTAATCCCCTTTTAGCGGCAGCGACCAATAAGTGAGTGCGCATCCCCTCCAGATAAGGAGGGCCAATAAACTGCACGTCCCCCCCTAGAGTCAACCATATTATTGTATTTAATAATAATGTTATGTCTCAGAACGAAACCAACATACCAAATTTTTTCTAAATTATATATTTAAATTGTCCGGCATCGGTAATTCAAACCTGATTTATTCACAAAGTGGAGGGCTCTGATATTAAGGGACAGATTTTAAGAAAGAGTGACTGTTAAATTAAAATTAAATTATTAAACTTTTTATTTGAATCCTTTACAATTAGAATCAGAGAGAAAGTGTAGATCCAGATGTCTTCAGGGACACTGAAACGAAATTAGAACTGTTTGGAATCAATCGACAATTTAAATGGGGACCAAATTTAAGAGTATTTGTTATTTACTGTTTAAAATTATTCTTAAAGTCGTAGACCCAACAAGCGGTATCTCCTAGCGGAAACTGAGAATGCAGTAGATTTCCCTCGAATTGTTTTCGGACCAGCCAAAGTGAAAGGTTCGGAGTCCAGGTGTCGATGTAAATTAGATAAAACACCCCTCAGCCTAGGAGTGACCGAATTATTGATTTGACGTTGATGTCGAAGTAATGCAGTCCTTAGAAAAATAGAAATGTGCCTCGCAGTAGAAATTATCTCCTTGAATGAATTTGACTAGAACGAGACTCGAAGAAGGAACCTTGGTACTTGAAAAGATTTTCTGAACTAGAGGCGAAGAACAAACTTGATGACAGTACACAACTAGTTAACTTAGTAGCGATTGCTGGACTGACACGAAGAAGACGCGAAGTTCGGTGGTGACTTTTGAACTAACTTGAAGGCATTTCCTAAGACTGTCGAATTCGGAAAGGGTGTCACCTTTTATAGCTTTCTTTTGCAAGGGATACCACCCTTGCACCCTATTGTTCTTGGGGTCAGATTGTTATTATTGATTTAATTTTTAATTCCTGTATTAGACCGGTTACCCAATAGAAGGATGACAAAATACAGATGACCATATTTGGTATCTGCTATCCAGACAAAGACTTGGGATCAATATTGCCTTGATTCGAAGAAAATAATGATTCAGTTTTTAACTTTACAATAAATATTATTTTATAAATTATATAAAGTACGTCGCGATGATATGACAATAATATTTTTTCATTCACATTACAGATGGACAGAATGTACTGACACTTTGCGAACTTTCGGCGCGATGTGTCGCCTCGCATATTCCCTTCGAACTGGTGGAGCATGTCTATCCACCAGTTCCAGAACAACTTCAACTCAGGATAGCGTTTTGGAGTTTCCCCGACAACGAGGAGGACATTCGACTTTATTCCTGTTTGGCGAATGGAAGCGCCGAAGAATTTCAACGTGGCGAACACCTCCATCGGTCAAAATGTGTCAAAGACCCCCTTCAAATAGGTAAATAAATTTTCAAAACACCAACATTTAATTCAAATCCAATAATTATCATTAATTTTATTAGCATTACTAGAATAAACTAAATTACTAAAATTCATTAAACATTTAATTCATTTAAAATTAAAATCATAAAGCATTTTTGATGAATTTAATATAACATGAAATATTTCACAATATTTAAAAAAAAATTACATTCCTTTCTCCCTTTGATATTCAACAAAAAGAATTTTTTTCCCTTTTTCAATAAAATGTTATGATGGAATCGATAATTAATTGAACATTTAGTATTCACTGTGAATTCCATGGACGAATTGCTGCGTGAATAGAGAAAGGAATTTAATAGAGTGTAAAAAAAATATTTGTCGATATTAATAAAAAATGAGAATGTAAAAAGAGAAGGACTAGTGGAAATTTATATGGAAAAAATTGGAAAATTTCAATTCACTTTAGCTTTATTTATTCTTCAGAGATACCTAGAATATCAGAAATAATAGTAAAAATGCAAAAAAAAGAGGAAAGAAATGGAAAATGCTGCTGTAGAGAGAGAGCAGTATGCTTTTCCTGTGTCAGCTGCATGTTTACTGAGATAAAAAAAAATCTACCACGTTCGTGGAGAAACTCGACATATTTTATTTAAATATGCAACAGAACTGAGGCGTAAGATATTCAGTTTGTCTCATAAAATAGAAATATGTATTACTTTTTACTCATGGAAAATGAAGGGATTTTTTTTTCCTTATACCTTATTCTTCTTGATAGAAGTTCATACATTTTGTAATAAATGAAAAGTTTACAATAGAAAATAAAATTGGATCCTTCTCTTTCAAGCGCACGTATTTTTGCCTTTCGTTCTAGTAAGTAAAATTTCTTTCGTCTCTTTAAAAATTAATTTAACGAAATAAAAATGTATCTTCTTCAAGTTTTCCCTAATCGTTTAAATAACTTATTTTTATAAATTAGAAGAATTAGAGATAGAGAATGAAGAGATAGAGAATGAAGAGTAAAGGAAAAAATTCAAAAAGAAAATCATTTTAGATGTCAATTTATTTTGTTTGAGAAAAAAGAGAAATGGGGGAAAAAAGGGCTTTTATAGTAGAAGTACAAAATTTAGCATGGTTTCATTCCCTTTATAGGATTTTGAATTTGACAAGATCATTAAAATTTCATGCACGTTCTGAATATTCGCTTCACTGGAGCTACAGACACTATTCAAATTTCGCATTCAAGTTCGAACCATCCTGACATTCAAAGCTACATGGGAATTTCATTATTGCCAACTGAGAGAAAATTTTCCAAAGGATTTGAAAAAGATCTGATTTTAAATTAGCGAGTCAGTCACTTTTCTTTATTATTTCTTTTTTCCTTTTTCTTTAAAAAAAAGATTTTTAGAGTTTTCGAGCTTTCAACAGCTTTTTATTTTTATTTTCTGTGGAGGAAGGAGAGGGCGGAATAGTTGGAGAAATGTGGCACACACAATAAGAGAAGGTATGCTTTTGTGGTTGAATAAAGAAAAAGAGAAAAAAAAACAACAGGTACAATCCTTCCTGACCTTAAGGCCATTTGTGGTTTCGTCATATTTTCTCTCTGCTCGCTGAAAAAGGATCTTGTTCGATGTAAACTGCTCGGTACTTTTCCTTGGCGAAAAGCTGAGCTTGAGAGATATTTCAATTGAATCGTTTTCTTTTTTCTCATCGCATTTATTTATTTTATTGCTTCTATAGATGGGAATATTTCTTCTTTTGATGTTTGAAAAATTTTTATTTCACGAGAGTACAATGAAAATTATTTGTTTAGAGTATGAATAGAATTTTTATTTCGGTCAAGTGGCCTAAGAGTATATGGATGTTTAGAATTTTTTACGGTATTACATAATTAGTAAATTTACAATAACCGGCTCACAAATCAGATGAACTGATATGATGATGCTTTCTTTTAGATGCCCAAGTTTGAATAAAGTTTAAATAAATTATTGTGGCTTGTGCTTTCCCTGACCCGAACTTATCGAAAGTTTCGATACTTTAGGTAACTTGGAAAAATGACTTACATTAATGTAAGTGGCCTAAGAGCATCCAGATATTTAGGATTTCTTACGGAATTGTATAATTAGTGAATTTCAAATAACCGGCTCACAAATCAGATGAACTTATATGATGATGCTTTCTTTCAGATGGATTTGCGTGATTAGTAAATTTCTAGTAACCCACTAAAAACCACCAACGTCTTTGGCCGAACCCTTCCTTTTCTGTGGAATCATCGTCAGGTTGTAAACTTTGTTGGAAAAGATCTGACTTTATGTTTTGGTGTCGTCGATTCGAATAGGGCTCATCAACTGCGGGATCCAATACGACTGCAACTAACTGCTTCTCCATCTCATTGGGTACCAGTCTTCTAACATTCTGGGCATTGTCTATCTTGTTGTGCTTACATCCGTGGAGGGAACTTTTCAATTCCCTCTGATAGGATCCCCTCAAAAAATTCAGTTCTTGGCTTGCCGCTATCCCTAATCGTCTGATGTTTCTTTTGTTGCTCTGCTGTCAGCCACTGTTTGAATCCCAGGGCTAAGCATTTGTCAGCAACACTAGTTGGAGGCTCAGGCCCTATAAATTGTCCCCAAGCTTCTGTTTTAGCTAGTTCATCCGCTATATCATTACCAATGAATCCACTATGACCCTGGGACCCAAAAAAGAGTAACACGGGTACTTCTAATTAGTCTATTGAGTGCCTCATGCTAATCACCGATTATCTGTAAAGTTACATCCCGTTTCAAGGCAAAAATCGATGAACATGATTTCGGATTGTAGCATAGTATCAGTGGACTGTAACTTATACGAGGGGTCCACTTCAGATGCACTTATTGTCAAAAATATCTAATTCCAATTTATGTACGTAATCAATTTTTTTAGATGCCCTTTGTAAAATTATGTCGATGGTAGAAATAGAAGACAAAAAGTTTTTCTTAACTACAAAAAAGATTTGTTCTTTTCCTTTCCTTTTTTTCTTTTTCAACTAAATGATACATCTTCTTCGTTTTTGTTCTTGCAGACTTTGCAACGTCCTCATTTTCTTTATTCTTTCTAATTTAGTCTTTTTTATTCAGTAGAGCGCAAAGTAAAGTTTAAATCGATAAAAAGATATCTGAGAATTATTTCTCGTTTCAAGAGAGTCGAGCAAAATGAGACTCATTACTCGGTCTCTAAAGACAATATTTTTTTAAAAAAATATATTTTCATGACCTAATTACTGTTAATCGGTTCGTTTAACTAAACTATTTTTATGTCTGTAAATCTGAAATTAACAGAATCAAGGAAATTGGAAAAATTAACTTTCGATTTAAATTGTAAAATATAATTTTCACTTTTTTTCATTTCATTTATAGGTTTCCACCTAAGTGCCAGTGTAAACGTCCCAATATTATCGACTTCAAGTGGAAACAAGGCCCAATATAATGTCGCCGTGACATTTGATCGTCGAAGAATCACCTCCTGTAATTGCACCTGTAATTCCACTGCTTATTGGTGTTCGCACGTGGTTGCTGTTTGCTTACACAGGATACACATGGTAAAAAGGATTTATATTAGTTATTATTTTAATTATTTAAACAACCCAATATCTTGAAGAAGCTATTTTCCTTTTCCAGAGAATGATCAATAAATATATTAAGCTGAAAAGGAACTTTTAGAACATTGTAGTTGTGTCTAGGGGTTTAAATTAATTATAGAAAATGTCTTGTTCCAGCCAACACAAGTTTGCTTGAGAGCTCCAGTAAGTGAATCACTTTCGAGGTTGCAGCGTGATCAGTTGCAGAAATTTGCACAGTATCTCATCAGTGAATTACCGCAACAAATTTTGCCGACTGCACAGCGACTACTGGATGAATTATTGTCAGCCCAACCGAGTGCAATCAACAGTTACTGTGGTGCACCAGATCCAACGGCAGGAGCGTCAGCACACGATCAAACCTCCTGGTACCTAGATGAGAAAACACTCCACGACAACATCAAAAAAATATTGATCAAATTTTGCGTACCAGCGCCTATAGTTTTTAGGTGAGTTTTACATATTTTTTTAAATCGAATCACTTACTGCAACAGATAAAAATATGAACTATGGTCAAGCAACTCAATATCAATCTAGCGCATCTATTTCCTCCTCTTCTCAATAAATGACAAAAATATTTATCTCATTTGCATAATATTTCCTCATTTTATTATCGAATATTTTTTTCTATTTGTGCCTGTTAATGTTATAATAAAGTACTGAAAAAATAATTTAAAAACTGCTTGGTAAACTTATTAGGGCAGCTCAATATTAAAATCCGATTTAATTCCACGAAAATTAAAAAGGGAACTCAAAAGCGAAATTAAATGATGTTAATATTAAACTCGTTTTAAAAATTCAAAGGCATTAGTCAATTTTATCTATAGACGACATAATCCCACGTTGATACGTGTACGGATTCCAGTTTTCAAATGAGAGGCTGACTAAAATCGGATTAATCTACTGAAAATTTTATACAACCGGCAACGCAATCTATTGCGTTTTTCAATATTTCAACATTTTAAAAGTGTTTTATAATTTCTATATTTTTATATATACAATTGCAATTTATTTATCGTTACCTAATTTTATTTACGGATTATGGACAGTCAGCGGCATGAATAAGTAAACATTTTAAATATCTTTTTAATGCAGCTTAATTTTTTACAAAACGAATTATGGACGTTATTTAGAATTACGTGTAGAAGTAAAAAATTGATTCTTGCTTTTAGTGATGTGAATTATCAAAGTAACACCGCATAAACTTTTAATGTTTTTTAAGTTTGTTGAAATGGAATTGCATAATTAGTATATTTCCAATAACCGGCTCCCAAATCAAATGATCCGAAATTCTTTTTTATAGACTCTTTAACTGAATTGAATATTTTTGTTTTTACAGAAATATCTGCAGTAAAAGCTTCTAATAGAAGATTAATCTTAAGGTTTTTGAGGATTGTTGAAATGAAATTCCATAATTAGTATATTTCCAATAACCGGCTCACAAATCAGATGAACTGAAATTCTTTCTTTTAGATGCTTAAGTTTAAATAAAGTTGTCTTGTGCTTTCCCTTTTCTAAAATTTTCGTAAATTTTCGACACTTTATAGGTAAAACGAAAAACTGACTTAGATTAACAGGCATTGATGGAATGTTGAAATAAAATTCGTAATTAATAAGTTTATAGTAACCGGCTCACAAATCTGATGATCCTAAATTTTTTCTTTTAGATTCCTTCACTGAATTGAAAATGTTTGTTGCAATAGAAATAGTTGTAATAAAAGTTTTTAATACAACATTAATCTTAATGGATTTGGGAATTGTTGAAATGGAATTGCATAAGTAGTAAATTTCTATTAACCGGCTCACAAATCAGATGATCTAAATATCTTTCTTTTGAATCCCATTATTGAATTGAAGGTTTTTGTTGATGATAGAAACGTTTGCAATAAAAGTTTGGAATAGAAAAAGTAATATGAAAATATTTTTTGCTTTTAGTGATGTGAATTATTTAAGTAACACTGCACCACCTGCAGCGGCGGAATGGTCCTCTTTACTACGGCCATTACGTGGTCGCGAACCGGAAGGCATGTGGAATCTCCTTTCAATTGTTCGTGAAATGTTCAAGAGGACCGATAGAAATGCAATACCTCTTCTTGAAATTATCACCGAGGAATGTATGGCCTGTGAACAAATCCTCGTCTGGTGGTTCAACACAAAGGTGGCATTACTGAATGGCACGAGTCATGGTAATGGAAAACACGCCAATATGAACAGTAATGCTCATGCCTCGCAACATGCTTGCTCATCACTTTGTGACGAAATTGTTGTACTATGGAGGCTCGCCGCATTGAATCCGGGCCTTTCACCCTCTGAGCGCGACATGCTTCACGGTCAATTTGCTGCCTGGCACATGAAGATCATCGAGAAGGTACGTCGAAGGTTGAAGGTAATGATGATGAGTGTTAATTGCAATCGCTTATAGAACTCAACGGGTTCATTTATCATAATATCGATTGTCACTTATCAGTTTGAATCTGTCTTTAAACCAATAATTTATCATTTAGTAATCATAGTAAATAGTATTTATTAAATAATTTTCAATCAAAAGAAACAAAAGATTTTTTGTAAAATTTGTATTTGGAAAAATTAATAAAGTTCTATTTTGTGATTATATCGAAGAATAATTATGATAAGATGAGTATAATTTAAAAATTTTAGGTAATGAAGAGTCGAGGTAGTTCTGTTTCGCATAATTCACACAACAGAAATAATGGAGGTGGACAGAAGGATTCGTTGAAAACTGATCTGGAAGTGTTCACAGGGTTCAGACCTGCTATAGAAGCCTGTTATTTAGATTGGGAAGAATATACTTTACCTGGTATAACTTACACTGCGGAAAGCAATCCTATGTATCATTGTCCATTTACTTGCTTTAGACATGTTGGTGACACCAGAACAGAAGTGAATCAGGTAAGCTTACATAAATAAAATGTACCTAAGATGTAATAAATATTCTAACCAGACTTTATTCAACTTGCGGAAAATTCCTTCTTTTAGACTAGTGTTTTTAATCATTACATCCCGAGTATGACTATAGTAAATTTCTATTAACCGGCTCACAAATCAGATGATCTAAAATTCTTTTCTTTGGACCCCTTAACTGAATTGAAATATTTCCCACTGGACCCACCTATGTTCAGAGTTTCTATTTGCCATTATTGTGGACTCTAGCCCAAGAGAGCACCAAAGGCGACTGTGGAAAGAAGTATTTCTATTTCGAAAACATTAATTTATCTTTAATTGCAGGTTAATTCAAGTGCTGCAGTTTTGAATTGTCAGCCACCAACTTCTCATCATCATAGCAGGCGGCCTTTAAGCCTTGGCCTCGTTGAATTTAGTTATCAGGATAGACGAAGATTAAATCCTCGTGAATTTCCTACTTTGTGTTCACGGATTGGCGGTGGTGATGGAAATCGAAGCAGCGACAGTTCGGAAGGTTTCTGCGAAAATGATGGGGATATGAATGACATTTCTGAGCCGCCAGTTGTCTTAGTTAGAAGAGGTTGTGGACAAATTAATAATTGCGGTGACACTGATTCACAAGTAAGTAACAATCTAAGAACTTTCGAAGTCCTTATCAATTAAGGACGCTTTTTGGGAGCAAGAATAAACTCGATTTGGTATTATTTTAGGAGGGCGGTGGCAGTGAATCGTCATCGAATAGCAATGCTAGTTTGAAGAACGCTCAAGGCTTGGACAAGCATCGCTCAAACGCCTCGTCCGAGACGCATAGTGATAGTAGTGATAGTTGTAGTAACAAAGCGCCGTGCGAAGTGAAGTGTAATAGGACAACGGGTGTGGTGGACTTCTTAGAAGCGTCATGTTCCGTATTAGCTAAAGCGGGCAGTTCTAAAAGTGAACATGAATCGGATCAAGAGAAGGATCCATCAAGGAGGCCGTCCAAGGATGAGAGCTCATCGTCAAGTAGTGACAGTCCATCCGGCGACGAATACAATGTATATTATTACGATCCAAAAGCCGCTGTCAATAATGGCACTGGCACTAGTAAAGAAACAAAAAGTGAATCTCATGGCGCGACTTCCGCGAATACTAGTAACGTTTTAGGTAATCTTAAAAAGACAGAAGACCCGTGGGATATACTTTTTGCCCGAGCTGAAGGTCTCTACGCACACGGTAATACACGTGAGGCCTGCATTCTCGGAATTAAATTGGCCGAAGAACTTCTCGCCAGTCCTCCTGATCTCATGATCGAAGTGCCTCCAATGCCAGTTAAGGGCAAGCGAAAGAAGGTATTTAGTACTTTAATAATTTTCGTCAACAATACAACGAACATATCTAATAAATACTAAAATATTTATACATTTCAGCAACAAGTCAATCCTGCATCCCACAAACTCACCTGTTTGGCGTCTGCAACTTTGGCCAAGTGTGGATTTCTTTGCACGGTTCTTGCAGAGAATCCGGAACATCATAATTTAGCATTCCGCGTTGGATTATTTGGCTTGGAAATGGCGAGACCGCCAGCGAGTACCAAACCATTGGAGGTAATGAAATATTCTCAGAAAACAGTAAACAATTTTTCTAAATTATCACGGCTGCCTTAGATCTAATAAATACTTCCAGAAAAATGAGTTTTTAAATTTCCTTCCATAGGTAAAGTTAGCGCATCAAGAAAGCGAACTCGTGGGTCTATTAAAAAGAATTCCATTGGGACCTACAGAATTGATGATGGTCAAACAAAGAGCAAAACAATTGCGAGACGGTGTTCTTCGATCGAGGGGACACGCACTCCTTCCGATTATGCTCGCCAGCTTTATTTTCGACGCACTCAATTCTCCAAGTATGATTTTTCCTTTTCTCTCTCATTAAAAATTTCTTGTAATTCAAAAATTAAAGTTCTTAATTTAAAATTAACTGATAAATAATTCTCAGTAATTGAAATTACTTTTTTTCCTTCTTTTAAAAATGATTTCTGAGAAAAAAGATTTAAACTAAATAAAGAGCAAATAGCAGTAGATGCGACTAATAATTTCAGAGTAAAAGGTGTTAAGTTTAAATAATCTTTAGCAAAAAAAAAGTTAAAAAATTGGGGAATGATTCGCAGGACTGAAACTGCCCACAGGCGTTGACGAGAATCTCGGGTTCGAAGCAGCGGTTGCCGCTCTTGGACTTAAGGCGAATGTCAGCGAGGCAGATCATCCTCTTCTTTGCGAGGGAACCCGACGTCAAAGGTAATTTTTAAATTTCCAAAATTAAATTTAGTTCTAGTTCGTAATGAGTCTTTGTTTTCATTATCGTTGATGATTATTCGCTACGTTTTTATTTTGGGATATAATCTAAATTATAATTTTACAGAGGTGATTTGGCAATTACTCTTCTGGTTCACTATAAGGATGAACCAAAAAAAGTTGCCAAGATAATGGACAAACTTTTGGATCGTGAAGTACATCAATTGATCAAAACTCCGATTGTCAGCAGTTACTATAGTTCGAATCCTCCTACCAGAAGCCAGGTTTGTTTTTTATTGTTCGTATTTAGTTTTAGGTTTACGTCCCGCTAAATCTTGAAATTGGTTTTCTTTTTAATCGATATCCTGAAGTTTTGGAGAATTATTCAAACAGAATTGCAGAACTAGTAAATTTTTAATAACCGGCTCACAAATCAGATGAACTGAAACTATTTCTTTTGGTCTAATATTTTTAATAATTACGTCCCGGTAAATCGTGAAATTGATGTTATTTTGAATCGATTCATAAATAGAATCCTGAAGTTTTGGAGAATTGTTAAAACGCAATCGCAAGACTAAGTTTTTAATAACCGGCTCATAAATCAGATGAACTAATATCAGAAAAGGAATAGTTCTGCACTGAACAAATGAGGAGCTGGATCTTAGAATCTACTTTTCCTCAAGTCTCCCGCTGAAGAGATCTTAGAATACTAAATAATTGATTCTTTGATGGAGCTCCTCAACTGTACATGGTCCTTAGCAAACTTAAATTGTATCCGTTATTGCAAATTCGATTTTTCTTCTTCTTGAAACAGTTGGCCGACTTTAGAAGGGAAAAGTCCTGCTCGTCACCGTTGACTGGAGCAGAGGCAAATAATTCGACTGATGGAATTGCCGGAACGTCCAGTCGACCCCACAGTAGCACGAGTGCAGAACTCGAGGCCGGAATAAGTGCGATGACTGTTCAGCCGCAAACACCCCAGCAGCCGTTGCCTTCAAGAACAAAGGAGCCTAGGTAATTTTCCAAATGGAACATTAAACTTAACTCCAGATATATAATTATTCAAAGAGTATTTTCAAATAGTAATTTTAATACTAAAAATTTCTATTTAGATACAAAAACAAGAGAGCATCAATTCCGAAGCCATCGATACCAAATCAACCGTCAGAAGCGGGAGCACATTTTATGTTCGAATTGGCAAAAACAGTTCTCGCTAAAGCTGGTGGCAGTAGTTTGACTTCGTTGTTCACTCAAGTTTCAACGAGTCAAAATCATCATGTGCCTCATCGGGCACTTCATATGTGTGCCTTCCAGTTGGGTCTTTATGCCCTAGGTCTTCACAATTGCGTCAGTCTTAACTGGATTAGCCGAACGTACTCGAGTCATGTTTCATGGATCACTGGACAAGCAATGGAAATTGGAACGCCGGCAATTTGTTTTCTTATTGACAGTTGGGAGGGTCATTTGACACCGCCTGAGGCTGTTAGTATCGCTGATAAAACTTCACGTGGAAGTGATCATAATATAGTAAAGGCCGCAGCGGAACTTGCACTCTCCTGCCTCTCGCATTGTCATGCGCTAAATCCGAACGAAATACAAAGAGCCATCTTGCAGGTATGTCTTCTATTCATTAAATTAACTACCGATGGTAGTTACGTTGTGAAAGAATTATGTATAAAGTTAGGAGACTGTTAAAGGGAGATTTTCTTTTAGTGCAAGGAACAAGGCGAAGAGATGCTGGAAAAGGCTTGCATAACGGTCGAAAATACAGCGAAGAAAGGAGGCGTGTATCCGGAAGTACTTTTCCAAGTGGCCAAGTACTGGTACGAGTTGTACCTCAGGGTAAGTTTCTATCTTCTAAATTATTAAGTTCCTCTTTTTAAATCGACCAAAGGCAAAGCTACAGTTCAATTAGGGAATGTTTATTTATAATCAGTACAAATATTATAAATTCCTGTTCAGCATACACCTGGTGGAGAGCAACAAGACGAGATTCCTCATGATCCTCTTCAATTGGATCCAAATGGAGCACTAATGGTGGAGTCTGGACCCCCAGTTGATATGACCACTGGTCAAATCATGTCGGGTCCGACACAAACAGTAGTTGTCACCAGTGCACAACCTCCTCCTCTACCTTATCCTCATCCAACGATAACTACTCTGGCCCCTCTAGGTGAGTTCATAGTAATTAACTCTAAATATTACACCAAAGAGATATTTAAAGTTTTCTTTACTGTTTGAAGTAAATAAAAGTAAATAAAAGTTACTAATATCTACTATATTTATTTTAATACAAATTGCTGTGATTTGGAAATTTAAAAAATATTCTTCTCAAGAAGTTGCAATGCCATACGCTGTGGGACCATACAATTTTATACATCCGCATCATTCAATGCCTGCGTTTCCGGGTCCAATGCCTCCGCATCGGGTTGCATTACCACCTCCGCCTCATATGCAGATGTATCACACAGCATTTCCACCGCATCCAGGACATCCTCAACATCCTCAGCATCATCATCCTCCACAGCCAACGCAACCACCACCTGTGCCGCAGTATTACGCTCCCCAGCCTACAGTGACAACTGTCAATGTCAATCCACCACCAGGAACTCATCACATGTTTACTATGCAGCAACCAATGCCAGTTAATGTAAGTCATTCCTAAGTTACCTAGGAACCAGTTTCACCAACTCCGGTTAAATGTTAATCAATGATTAAAGTCATTTTAACCGCCCATGATTGGTCGGTTAAGGATTTAATCATTGATTAACTTTTAATCGGAGTTGCTGAAACTGGTCCCTAAAGTGTCTAAAATTTTAACACGTTTGGGAAAGGGAAATCATTTAATAATTCTTTCGAAATTTCTAGGTTCAAACGAGTGTTCAGTCCATCCCTGGCCAAAATGGAATACCAGGACCAACGTTAGTTCAAGCTCAGCCAATTATTTCGACCGTCAGAGCTCAATCTCAGGTAAAAACTTTGCATAAAGTTCACAGAAAGAGAGAGATATAATTTTGATTTCTATTTGATAGAACTTGAAATAAATAAAGGAATTCAATTTCAGGTTCACAGACAAAGTCAACCGTTTACATCGCAGCAATTTAGGGCACTTGTTTCCGCTTACCGAGTGGGAATGTTGGCACTGGAAACTTTGGCACGCCGTGTTCATGACGATAGACCGCAGGCAAAATACGCAAGAAATCCACCTTACGGCGAGGATGTCAAATGGCTATTGAGAGTCTCTAAGAGGCTTGGTACTCAGTACCTTCATCAATTATGTATTTGCACTGTGAACAGTATTGTCAGTCCCTTCGTTCTTCACGACGTTGCCCTCGAGTCTGCTCACTATCTCGCAAGAAATAATCCTACATTCGTTCTTCAACATTTACGCTCCGCTCTTCTGGCTCCACTTGTTCATAAATGCCAGCAAATGTAAGAAAACTTTTTACTGTTCAGTCAGTTTTGTGAAGTGTTTAAAACTAGTTTTTTTTGACATCAAGTTTAATTTTTCGATACATTTATTCAAATATTTTTATTTATTAATAGGTATATTCAGTGTATGCATCAGAAGTTATATCATCTGATAACTGCTGATTACGAGGATTTTGCTAGTGTTGTTTGTGCGGCGCGGGCAGCTTTTAACATCACACCAGAGGGTCACACACAATTCAAGGAATGGTTACAGTCCATAAAGAGGTAAAAAAATCAATGTCTCTCAAGGGTTCATAACGCATCGACGGTGTAGAATATTTTGAGTTTTTTTATTTTAATTTTTCAGGTCGCAATCATGTAACAAGGAACTTTGGGTGCATATCAACACAGCATTACAGCAGAACAGTAAATGACACAGAGTAGAAACTGGAGTACAGTGGCTTGCATTACATCCACAAAATCATCAAATAATCGACGACGCGCAGCAGCAATTATCATCATCATCATCAACAACATCATCATCATCATCATCATCATCGTCAACAATCACCGCCGTGTCATCACCAGTATTGAATCAAGAACAACGTCGAATACGAACGCGAATTGCCCATCAACGACAAGAACATCATCGTCCCTGTCAAGATCAACATTCGCAACGTCGTCGACGTCCAACATTAGTTGCACCAATTCATAATGATCACCGAGCCATTTCCTCATCCATCTCACCGTCAATCGCGGGAGGTCGTTGAGAAACACATCCAAAAGCAAACATGAAAAAAAAAATACTCTCTGGACAGAGATCCCAGGGACGAGAATTATTTTTAGTTTATTTACACTATTTAATTATTCATTCAAATTAGTTCTTTTTATTCACGGGCTTTGAATGAAAATCGAGTGAATGTTTTTTTTTGACATTTTAATCTTCAATGATTAAAAATCATTTTAAAAATTTTTCATTCCCTTTTTTTTATTTTGAAAACTTCTTTTTAGCAAATTCTCTTCCCTTTTTAGTTTAATTAATAGATTCATTAATCTATTCATTTTTGTTCTTAAATAGAAATTTTACTTTTGCGAGAAAAAAAAATGATCTCCGTGTGCAAAATTAGATTAATAACAAGGCCCGGCAGTCTTGATTAATTTTTTATAGTTAAAATAACAATTTATAATTTTTATAAGTTATAATTATTATAATTGTTGTAACTCTTATTATTAAAATTAAATATGAATTTTACATTCTCATTATTTGAATTGAAATTCTCAGTTTGAATCAGAGTCCAGTTTGCGACTGGGTAAAAATAAAAAAAAAGTATCGCGACGCAAATAATATTAGCAAAATCAAAATTCAAATACCCGGAGAACGCAGTAAACGAATCATCGATCGACACACGAAATGAATTTCTTTTTTTTTTTTTTTAGAATGAACGTATATTTTTAGCTTGAATTTAGATAGGAAATATTCTTTTTTTTCTTCTTCGACTCTTAGATAGGGTGAATTCTTGTTTTATTTTTGTAAAACGAGTAAGAACTGAAAATTTTTTTTTTTAATCTATAATTATTGTCTATTTATAAAAAAAAATTTTCAGATATTCAGAGCGAAATATATATTATATATATATATATAAAAATATATATACCCTGTGTAAAGGGTACTAAAATTTCCCCCCCTCGACCCTCTCATTCAGATTCTTGTTAATTTTTTTCCATCTCCGTTTTTCTCATTTTCTATAAAAAAAAAAAAATATAGAAAAAAAAAATATTGTCGCGTACTTGTTTTGTACAACATAGAAAAAAAAATATACATATTATTCTCGGTTTTGTCTCGACGACAATCCATCAAGAAAATGATCTCTGTAATTTTTAAATTAAATTTATTTTAAAAAAAAGTATGAAATAAAGAAATGAAGAATCTTTAAAAGCTAACATATCATCAAATTTTGAGCCACCTTTTCCAGTTCTTTTTTTTTTGTGTTGTTGTGTGTTTGTGTGTTTTGCATGAAAATTATTTTTAATATCATTTTTTTTGTGGCTCGAGGAATTTTTTTTTTTTGTTTGGAATCTTTTCTCTAATCTTTTTTTAGTTAACTTCTAAATTAATAAATTTAAAAAATTCTTTTCTTAATTTAGTCTTAATTTCTTCAAAATTCTTCATCTTCTATATTTATCTTCAGTATCTTCAGAATCTTCAGTATCTTTAGTATCTTTAATAGTTCCAAGTAGTTCTCCTTTCATTTTAATATAGACATTAAATCTTAGTCTCTAGGCTCTCCTTAGATTTTAGCCTATAAAATAGTATTTTTTTTATTTCAAGAAAGACAAGACCATTTTTAGTCTCCTAGATCATTAAGAGACTTAATTTTTTCTCTCACACACACTCTCGTCCATAAAAAAAACGAAACAAAAGAATAAAACTTACTTTTCCTATTCAAGAAAAAAAAATGAAAAAAAAAATGAATGAAAGAAAGAAAATGCAATTTTTTTAAAAAATACAGCCAAGCCTATAGGAAAAATTTTTTAAATTTAAGCTATAAAATCTCCGAGATAACGGTAAGAGAAAAAGAAATTTATTTTCTAATACTCGCTATCCACGAGACGCGACGGCGCGATTTTTTGTTTTGTTTTTTTCAAAGTGACGTCGTGACGATAAAAAAAAAAAAAGAAATATTGTTATTTGTTTCTAGTATTGAACACTGAACAGTGCCTCGTCAAAATCTATGTGAACACTTTTTCATAGCTGAGAATGTTCATTATAATGGTGACATTTTTCTGCTCTCTGTACTCGTATTATTCAAAACAGTGTTAAACATGTAAGTTTATCTAGAGTCGTAGGTTAAGAAAAAAAAATAAACGTAGAATTTTCTTAAAAATCATTTTTTCAAGGGAAAAAAAAATTGTCGAATCAATTATTTTTCTTATTAAATTTATGCATTTAGAATTATTTTTTTAATTCTGCTTTTGCTCTCAAAAATAGAAATTTCCAGATTCTTAGGAAAAAAATTACAAAAATTACAAAATTACAAATTTTTTTTTTTGTAGCATTTCTGGTTTTCTTTCAGTTTGATCCTTTTTAAAAATTTTTGACTTTGACTTTCATTTTCTTTTTTAATTTCTATTATTTAATTTATAAAAACTATTTTTTTTTTTTTGAATTTCTTCAAGAATATTTCTTTCAATTTATATATACAGCGGGAAAAAATTATTTTTTGAAATAAATGCAAAATATTATTGAAGAAATTTAAATTAGCCACGGGCGAATTTTGATTTTAAACTCAAATTTTTTAGATGTAATTATTTAATTTCATTTTCATTTTCACTTTGAATTCGTCTTTGAATTTTGAATTTACTAAAATTCAATGAGAAGAGTCAAAGAAAAAGTGAACGTGACAATGAAAATGGAATTGAAAATAAAAGTCGAAGTGAAAGTGAAAATCAAAGTCAAAGTGTAAAATTTTTTTTCTACAATTTTTTTTAAATCCGTAAAAACGTATTATTAATTTACCAGACAGACAAAACTTTAAAAACTTACGTTTTTTTATTCTTCTTTTCCACTTTCACAAAAGCTGATAATTGACAAAAATATGAATCGATAATTTTTTTTTTGAATCCCTTTTTTTTATAATCAATTCAAATTATTTGAAAATAAATTCTAGAATATAGAATAAACATATATATAAATAAATAATAAAAAAATGAAAATTTACGCGAAAAGAAAATATTAATCATGCAATTTAGCAAATCATCACAAATGTCATATTTAAGAATTATTTTCTGTTCATCTATCATCTTATCGTCTTATCGCTCTCATCTATCAAATTTTTTTTTATTCGTATTTTCTCATAAATTCCTGTTAATTAGCTAATATAACAAAAAAAAGACAAAAAACAAAAAAAAAGTGGATAAATACGATAAAAATCAAATTTTTTCTGTTTTTCCTACTACGCAGAGATCGAAAATGGTTGTGAAAAGATAAAAGCAATCTGTTAATGAAAAATATTGTAAAAAAAAATATTATTCTCGCTTCTCGAAATAGTTAATTGGAATTATTTTTTTTTTTACTTTCGGCACTTTTAATTTACAATATTTTATCTCATCTTTTTTATTTATTCTATTCTTCTTCATTCTATTTTTTATTATTTAACATTTTTTATTTTCTAAATAGGCATGAATTTTTAATTTAAAATTTCAATTAAAATATGTTTGCTTTTTTGTTTAAAACTTCGAAAATTCACTTGTAGAAAAAAAATTTCTAGGTTGTGCCAAAAAATATTGAAACTGGCGTAAGTTTTTTTTGTTTTAAAAAAATATTTTCTACTTTAATTTCCTTCTTACTATAAACATTTTTTTTTATTTTTCCTCAAAAAAAAAAAATTTTTATTCATGAAAAAGTGTAACAACCAAAAAAATGTTAATATCAGTTTGCACACGGTAGAAAAAAATATGAAAATATATTTTTCGAATTTTTTGGCTCATCCTAAATAATATAAAGAAGAAAAAACACTTCCCTACGCATAATATAATATTCATCTTATATATAAAAAAGCATTTTTTCATCAAACTTTTGTCCTTAGCTATTTAGTCAGTTTAGCCTAATTAGATGATTGTAAACATTCAAGAACGTCCTAGAGGAAAAGAAAAATAATATCGTTTTTTAGTATTTAAAATCACTATAAAAATAAAATTATTAATTATTATACCGTAGAAAATGCGTTTAGTCTCGGCGTAGAATGCTAATATTAATAACAATTTATTATAATATTCTCACCGAATATTTGAAAAAAAAATCGGTGAAACTCGTACTTAAGTCAAACAGGTAAATATAAAATATAAATATAATAATATTAATAATAAATATGAAATAAAAATTTTTAAAAATATATATTATATATATTATATATATAAAATATATAAAATGGTTTATATATATAAATATATAGAAATTATTAACATATAAATATAAAAATTATTAATATAATGTATAATGGCGTCTAAGAATACTCGCGTTTCTACCGCCACTCTTAATGAGAAAAAAAAACAGAAGAGATTGATAAGGAAACTGCTCAGAGATTAATTCTTTCCTCCTCCACCTTTACCCCCAAAAAATTAGTCAGTAAAAAAAAGAAGAATGAGAACGAGAAAAAAAAACCGAAATAATGAGGAAAAAAAAGAAAGAGCGTGCAAAAGCTAATGAAAGAGGCGAAAAAGAAATATATTTTTACACTTGGTACCAAAAATAAAATTAAAAAAAATTTTTCTTCAGAAGAAAATTTTAGGCGTTCAATCTAGACTCATATAGTGTATTTAAAAAAAAAATCGAAAAAAGCAAAAAAAAAAATCTGTACTAGTTCTGTAGAAACGCGAGGACGTCGCGGAGGTTTTGTCAAAGAACCTTTTCTTTAAAAAAAAATTTTTCTCTTCGGTTTTTCAAGTTTTTCACTCGAAGCAAAAAATTCAAATGTCATTTGACTTACAAAAATATTTTGTAAAAGTTTCAAAACCAATGGAAAATGAATAAATAAACAAAAAAAAAATGAATTTTTCTCTAAAAATAATGACATTTGCTGCTACGCTTCTAGTGAACGAACAAAAAAAAAAAAACTAATTCAAAATATTTCACGAAAATATTGCACATTTTTTCTCTATTTGTACATATATACAACTGCGGTTGTACTGTTTGTTTTCGTGAGCATTGAAAAAATATTCAGCTTTCTATTACAAAAAAAAAAACAATTTCCAAAAAAGTTAAAATAAACGAAACTTTTCTTCTTGATAGTATTCAGAAATATAATTTTATTTTTTCACGATATATATATGTGGAATTTTTTGAAAAAGTTTTGGAACAATAGTAATTTTTTATATTAATAGAAAGAAAAAGGGAAAATTTAAAAAATATTTTAAAAACAATACTTAAAAAAGAATCTAAAACTACAAAAAAGAAATTCTCTTAAATTCTGAAACTTTTTCAATTTTCTCCATCTATGAAAAAATTCATTGGCGAATAGAACAGTTTATAAGAATCAGTTTTCAAAAAAAAAAAAAAAAAAAGAAGAAGAAAGGGGAAGGAAAATAGAAAAGCTCAGGATCCTCTTTTTATTACATGTTATAAATATTAAGAGTGTATCGAAATTTGTGCAATTTCTTGCAAACGTCGCAGGTTTCGATGTCATATTAATTAATTTCGAATTTAGCGTGCATAATGAAACAATAGGCAATTAGTGATGTGGGGATTATTGATAATATCGATATTTTTTCGATTACCGAAGATAATAATTTTTAATTATAATAATAATGGAATTATTATTATTTGAATGGAATTATTATATTATACAATTATGATTATAGATATAATAATATTCAATATAAAGTATATAATTAAAATTATATATATCTATATATTATAATTTATATTATTATATAATTATAATTAAATTAATTACAATTGATAATTATTCATAATTTATTGTATATATAACTGTTAAAAAAATTGTATAATTATATAAACTAAAGTAAAAAATTGTCAGCATGATTAGTGCGATTAGTGGTAATTGATGCACCTGTCTTTGAAATATAATAATTCAATAGGGAAAAAATTTGCAAAGTAAAGACAAATTTATCATTAAAGTTTATGAAGTTCTGAATCTAAAGACCTAAGAATAAATATTTTTGGACACTTTGCAGAAATTATTTCACTCGATACATTCGATAGAAAAATTCAGTAATTTTTCACTTTTTGAGCATAAAGTTTCGCTTATTGTAAAATTTTTAAAAGATGAAGGAAAAACTTTATATTCACAGGATTTTATCAGTCAAACGTAAGCTTTAATTTAAGACCAAAAAAGTTTAAAAATCTTAAGAGGTTTGGAAAATATGACTAAAAATGTCCGAGTACAGTTTTCATAAAAAATGTCGAAAAGATAGGTTTGGAT